GCGTACAGGTTTTCTCTTCTCTAGTTGTGGCACGCAGACTCCAGAGCGCATGGGCTCTGTAGTTTGCAGCACTCAGGCTCTCTCCTTGAGGCGCGCGAGCTCAGTAGTTGGGGGCGTGTGGACTTAGTTGCCCCACTGCACGTGGGATCTTAGTTCCCTGCCCAGAGATCGAACCCACGTCCCCTGCATCGTAAGGTGGATTCTTTACCACTGGACCACCAGGGAAGTCTGCATAATGTTTTGATTGCTATAACTTTATAATATAGCTTGAAATCAGGTATTACAGTACCTCCAGCTCTGTCCTTCTCTCTTAGGATTACTTTGTGGCTCTAAATAAATTTTAGAATAGTTTGTTTCTATTTCTGTGAAAAATGTCAGTGGAATTGTGATCAGGATTGCATTGAATCTGTAGATCACTTTGGGTCATATGAACATTTTCACAATATTACTTCTTTCAGTCTAGGAACATGGGGTACCTTTCCATTTGTTTGTGTCTTCTTCAGTTTCTTTCCTTAAAGTCTTATAGCTTTTAGTATACAGGTCTTTCACCTCCTTGGTTAAATTTATTCCTAGGTATTTTAATTTGTTTGATGCTATTGTCAATGAGATTGCTTTCTAATTTCTTTTTCAGATAATTCATTGTTAATATATAGTAATACAACTGATTTCTGTGTGTCAATTTTGTATCCTGCAATTTTACTGAATTTATTTATTATTTCTAACAGTTTTTTAGGGGTCTTTGGGATTTTCTATATAAGATCATGTCATCTGTGAACAGAGATCATTTTACTTCTTCCTTTTTTTTTTTTTTTTGTGGTACGCGGGCCTCTCACTGCTGTGGCCTCTCCCGTTGCGGAGCACAGGCTCCGGACGCGCAGGCTCAGCGGCCATGGCTCACGGACCCAGCCGCTCCGCGGCATGTGGGATCTTCCCGGACCGGGGCGCGAACCCGTGTCCCCTGCATCGGCAGGCAGACTCTCTACCACTGCGCCACCAGGGAAGCCCTTCCTTTTTGATATGGATACATTTTACTTATTTTTCTGCCTAATTGCTCTGGCTTAGTACTATGTTGAATGCATCCTTGCGTTCCAGAGATAAAACCCACTTGATCATGGTGAGTGATCCGTTTAACGTGTTGTTGAATTTGGGTGGCTAAAATTTTGTTGAGAATTTTTGCATCTGTATTCATCAGGGATATTGGTCAGTAATATTCTTTTCTTAGAGTGTCTTTGTCTGGACTTGGTATCAGGGTAATGCTGGCCTCATAAAATGAGTTTGGAAGTGTTCCCTCTTCTTCATACTTTCATATCTTTTCATGCTACTGATTAGCATATTTTGGTTTCAGCTTAAAGAACTCCTTTTAGCATTTCTTGCAGGGCAGGTCTAACGACTACAAATTCCTTTAGCTGTTGTCGACCTGGGAAAGTCTTTCTCTCTCTTTCATTTCCATATGACAGCTTTTCTGGGTGAAGTATTCTTGGTGGTAGTTTTTTTCCTCTGAGCGTTTTGAATATATCATCCCATTCTCTCCTGGTCTGTAAGATTTCTGCTGAGACGTTTGCCGATAGCCTCATCAAGATTCCCTCATATGTGATGATTCTTTTATGTCTTGCTGCTTTCAAGATTCCCTTTTTGTCTTTGATTTTTGAGAGCTTGACTATAATGTCTCAGTGAAGTGAATGTCTCAGTGAAGACCTCTTTGGGTTGAATCGGTTTGGAGATCTTTGAGCTTCTTGTACCTTGATGGCTGTATCTCTCCCCAGATTTGAAAGTTTTCAGTCATTATATTTTTAAATAAGTTTTATGTCTCTCTCTCCTTCTCTTCTCCTTCTGGGACTCCCATAATATGGATAATTTTTCTTTTGATCATGTTTCACAGTTCATGCAGGCTTTCTTCTTTTTTATTCTAATTTCTTTATTCTCCTCTGAGTGGAAAATATCAAGAGGTCTGTCTTGAAGCTCCAGGATTCTTTCTTGTGCCTGATTGAGCCTACTCGTCAAAGCGATTACATTTTTCATTTCATTCATTGTATTCTTCTCCAAATTTTCTGATTTTTTTTTAACGGGTCCTATTTCTTTGTTGAATTTCTCATTTTGTTCATATACTATTCCAGAGTTCATTGATCTGTCTGTGTTCTCTCACATATCACTCAGCTTCCTTCCAATCATTATTTTGAATTCTTTCTCAGATCAGTCACAGATCTTTATTTCCTTAGGGGCAGTTAATGGAGTGGTATTGCATTCCTTTGGTGATGTCATGTTTCCTTGCTTTTTCATGTTTCTGATGGGTTTGTGTTGATATCTGTGCATTGGAGAATGATGTCACCTCTTCCAGTCTTTTCAGACTGGTTTCAGTAGGGAAAGACTTTCACCTGGAGGTGGCTGTTAGAGCACCTGCTGACTGGGATGCAGTGTCTTTGGTTCCCGAGAAGGCACAGCGATGTAGTCTCTGTGCCACTCCACTGGTTGAGGCTGAAATTGGCCAGACTGTGGGGTTCTTATATGGCTAAGGCTGCAGGGGACCTATAGGTGGCAGGTAGGGCTATTGGTATCTTCAGAGGCTAAGGCTGCTGACATCTTCCTGCGCTCCTCTACTTTTTTGCTCTTGGAAGGCGCCTCTGTTTGAGGACACCCCTCCTGGTGCCTGGTCTGATGTGCTGACACCCAGAGTTCTCAGAGCAGCATTGGAACTGAGGTCCGGGGATCAGGCGCACGTGGAACTACCACAGTGCCGGGGTCCTGGAGCACAGCCACACTGTGTCTAGGGCATGGACATGTGCAGATATCCTGTGGAACTGGTACTTGGGTCTCAAGGGCTCACTACTGTGACTTGTGCTGGTGAAAGGGAATATGGCAGTGACGAGGGCCCTGGAATGACAAGGTGCGGTGGTGGCTTGGGCAGAAAAGGCAGAGTGCAGTGGTAGCACAGCCTGGGAATGGCAGGTCAAAGTCTGACCTCTGCCCCCACCCCTCCCACCGCCCGCTGGGAGTGCTCACAGGATAGCAATAGTACAACTCCGGTAGTTGTTAAAGCCGTGTGTTGGGGCTCAGGGAACTGGGCACAGGGTAGTGGCAGCAAGCCCTTGGCAATGACAGTTCAGAGCCGCAACCTGGGATGGGGGGTGAAGTTCAGGGCAGTGGTAACCTGGTCCCAGCCTCCGTGGGTCAGAGTCCTGACCTGAAATCTGAGGGGCGGGGCTCAGGGCAGTGGTAACACCGCTGGCAAAGATGGCTCAAGAGCCTCAAGCTGGGATGGAGGCGGAGCTCAGGGTAGAGGCAGCCCAGTCCCAGCAATGGAGGGTCTCAGGCTTGACCAGACCTGCCATGGGGGTGGGACTCAGGATAGTGGCATTGCTCTTAGCAATGATGAGTCAGAGCCAGGACCTGGGACCTGGGAGGCAGTAAGAACTCATCTCAGCAATGACACTTCAAAGTCTTGACCTGGGCTGGGGCAGGGGGGTGAGGCACAGGGCAACAGCCAATTTGGGCAGCCAAAGCACGACTTGGGACCCAGGAGGCACGGCTTAGGTCAGGGAGATTGCCTTGGTAATGGTGGAGCAAGGCCCCAACCTGGGGCTGGGGTGGGCAAAGAGCCATGGCAGCTCTGGTGTCCTCTGTGGAGAGGTGCTGTGGTGCCCGATGTGTGAGAGACGGGCACAGCAACAACTGGGACCCCTGAGGGCAGGTCTCACCTCAGCAACACCTCCAGCCTCTGGGAGTAGATCCAGAAGAGGGGGGTACTACAGGCTGCTCCACCAGCTAGGGTCAGCGTCACTGAAGACTGAGAGACTCTTGTACCCAAAGCTGCAGACATCCACAATGGGCGAGGCTTGCTGTGGTCCTTCTGCTCTCCTTCTCCCCATGCGGTGACCTTCCTGAGAGGATTCCTCCTGTTGCCCAGCAGCTCCCGACTGGGGGATGGGGTGATGGGGACAAAATGCTTCCTTTGCTTTTGTCTGTGGCCATCCTTGAGTTTTGAGCTCTGCCAGGTTTTTTGCTGCTGCTTCTTTGTTGTCTAGAGCTTTCCCTGAGCTGTTTTCTTCCATCTGTAACTGTTTATTGTTCTTGGTTTTCTTTTCTGTTTGCTTGTTTTGGGGGGTGGGGGACCTCCCGGCCCTCCGTCTTGCTGACATCACTCCCAAGTCCCCCCCATTCTATAGAGGAGGCAAATGAGGCCCTAGGAGATAAAATGTTTTGCTCAATAATACACTACAAGTTTGAGACTGGAAATTATATTCTGATTTTGCTGAGGAGTTGGATGTACTCTCATAGGTGCAAAAACAACGAACCAACTTAGAGTCAATATGAAGTATATTTTTGAACATTTATTTATATCTTGGTCCTATTGTCTCAAAATATTTTCAGCCTCCTGGTTTGGGAATAAAAGTCCTTATTTGAACGCAAAATACTAATGTATTTTTTTTTAGTAAATTTTATTTTTTTTATTTTCGGCTGCATTGAGTCTTCGTTGTTGCATGCAGGCTTTCTCTAGTTGCAGCGAGCGGGGGCTGCTCTTCGTTGCAGTGCGCGGGCTTCTCATTGCTGTGGCTTCTCTTGTTGCAGAGCGCGGGCTCTAGGCACGCAGGCTTTAGTAGTTGCAGTACGTGGGCTCAGTAGCTGTGGCTCGTGGGCTCTAGAGGGCAGGCTCAGTAGTTGTGGCACACAGGCTTAGTTGCTTCGCAGCATGTGGGATCTTCTCGGACCAGGGCTCGAACGCGTGTCCCCTGCATTGGCAGGTGGATTCTTAACCACTGCACCACCAGGGAAGCCCCGGTATTAATGTATTCTTGCTGAGAAGCCATCATGGGAAGTTACAGAGGTGACTAATAAATTAATTGAGCATGATAGGATTCTAATGAAATAAGTAATTCTTGAAAGTGCTCTATGAGATAGGCGGTTGTGAGTTTTCAATATTCAATCCCAAATAATTTGCATTTTGCTGTTTTTATGCATTTCTGATTTCTGTGCATTTTAAATTTCTCTTCTTTATTTCTTTGTAGACATTACAACCAGAACATTACAAATAATACTGGAAGTCGTACCAGAAGAAGATTGTCATAAATTATAAATCAATACATTTGAAGTCCTGGCAATTTATCCTTGGCTTTGTTTCTGCCCAAAGGGCTGAAACAAAAAATGGATCTTCTAAGAAATTTAGTTATTACTCCATGTGGTTATAGAACGCTGATATGCAATTATACCATAAGTTCACATGATCATTAAGTCCCTGATACCTACCTATTGAGGTTAGGAAAAACGACTACAGAATGGAAATTACTTTAGTGGTCTTTCTCTATAACATATCTTATGGCTAAGAACCTTCAGACTGAAAACTGAGATGTTTTCTTTAATATGGGTTTTGTAAAAACAATTTTTATATACTATAGATAACTGTACTGTGAAAATTGTTTTCTACTCTTCTGGGGAAAACAAAAAAGTGTATGTCATCATTATGGACAGAGGAAAGAAAGAAATTTATTTTACATTGGCATTGCATTGCTTCCCACAGATATCAACTTAGATATCATACATGTTTTAATGGATTATACCCAGAGCATTTTGAAAAAGAAAAAAAACTTAGGGGTATGCCTAATTGTGATGAATACATTAAAGAAGAGTTTCTAGGGGCTATTGTTTATGAGGCAAATCCAGGAATTATGTTTAAGTAAAAAAAATGCTTGAGAATTTATTATGTTAGGATTTTTTTCACTCATTATCAGGAAGCTCCGTAGTTACGTGCCATTTGTTTTCATGGCAGCCTAATTGATCAGGAAAGGATGTAACGCCTGTCCTAGAGCAAAACAAAAGTCAGTTTGGTATTAAATCCTCTTAAGCATGATCATGTGTTTCACTAATAATTTACTCTTTGATAAATACATCTAAATATGTGCATTTTTAAATCTTCAAGTTATAATATCAACAGGAGACGGAAATCACCAAGAAAGAAAATGCCCAAAATACTATGCCCAACTCTATAGTTCTACATACATCGTTAGTGTTTCTGAACATTTTTTAAAAATCTCATAGCTGTTTTTACATGAATTGATGTAATGAATTTTGATGAATTGGTGAAAATTGATGAATTTTCATCAATGAAAATTGATGAATTTGGTGATGAATTTTGACAGTTTTACGTTTTCTTTGTACATTTTATATTGTTAAAATATCTCTTTGGACAAAACTGTCCAGATCAATTAGGAAAAGACTTACATTTACATAAAAATTAAGGAAGAAATGTCACTGCTAAATAAGATTTACAACTGATGTTTCTAAGAATGTTTCCATTTCTCTCTCTAGGCTTTAATTTCCTGACAAAGTAAAAGAGATAACTGATAAATTCACTGAAAGAAACTGTACATGAAATGTATATATTCAGACAGGTATTTACTATGCTGGGTTTAGAAAATACTGTGGAATTTTCAAATAAGAATAATATAATGATGAAATTTGTTAACCATTATTTACTTAAGTCTCAGAGTAAATAGTCATGGCCAGAATTTTTTCATTCTGTAATTTTTGTCCATTTGAAAAGAAGAATTTTTGGAAGAATTACACTGATTCAGATCATTAAGAGCAGATATATAGAGTTCATAGACAGTTGATCAAAGTAGAAATGATGATAATTTGAGGCAGTTTCAATTAATTAATTTTCAATTCGTTAATTTCAATTTCAAAATTTAATTCAGTTAATTAAATTTCATTCAATTAAATTTCAATTTAATATCTATCTGAGATTGAAATTTTGTCAGCCAAACGTAGTGTTTGGGTCTTTAAGTGAATTTATAAAAATTCCTTCCTTTTTCTCTTACCATGGATTTTCAGAATTTGATCTGTAGTCTGTACAGCTTATATCCATTTGTCTACATCTGTCCCCACTAAATTGTTGCTATCGGTGAAAACAGATTTGCTTTATATTCTTGTTTACAGTCTAGGCCCATGTAATCTAAACCAGCAAACTCTCCTGGAATTGTTTTTTTCCCCTAATGAAAAAAAAAAAGGTAAAGTCTCATGGAGAAGTTTGTATAGTTACTGATTAATTCCCGAGGTTAATGTGGGAGATAGGTCTCCTGATTTTAGTTATTTTAGTTTTAGTTCTAATTTCTCTTTAAATATGTCATTATACAAGCTAACTAGATTACATATTCATTATTATTTTCATCATTTTAAAGAATGATTTTTGCATTGTTAAATTTCTAATGCCATTGTAATACCATTTTAACCAGATGGAAAGTCAGTCAGTAATTTTTTTTTTTTTTTTTGCGGTACGTGGGCCTCTCACTGTTGCGGCCTCTCCCGTTGCGGAGCACAGGCTCCGGACGCGGCTCACGGGCCCAGCCGCTCCACGGCATGTGGGATCTTCCCGGACCGGGGCGCGAACCCGTGTCCCCTGCGTCGGCAGGCGGACTCTCAACCACTGCGCCACCAGGGAAGCCCAGTAATTTTTTTTTTAAGCGATGAGGATTAAGTTGTATTTCTACTTATCCTTAGGATACATCATGACAAGATACAGGGCTTCTGTAATCATCCATTCGATAGTCGTAACATTTATTTGGAATGGTATTATGTCAAGCAGATTCTAGTTTGAAAACTCTCTTACACACTTTTATATGTATATATATTTTTATGCTAAGTAATTTTTTCTCATATATTTAGGAAAATTTTTTCTCATATATATTTTTCTCATATATCGAACTGTTAGATGTGATACATTTGTACCAGTGTGCATATTCGAATGTTTAAATACATTTTATCAGTTTATTGTAACACAAAAAAGTAAAAGTAGCCAATAGAGTTTACGACGGCTAATATACTATTTTCAAATGTTCTGCTTTTTTGGTACATAGATTCTCAAGTATTTAAATATGAATTTAGTAGATCTAGTAAAGACCTCCAAAGCTAAAACAATTTGCTAGGAGAAATGGAGTGATTCTCCTTAATAATTATGAATATTTCAGTAAACGTTTTTGATCCCTTTTTAAAAATATTAGACTAGTTTTCTGAGATTTTTCTAAGATTGAATGAAGAAAACTGACTATTATAACTGGTGTCTTGGTCAGCTAGGAGTAGACCCTCTTCTTATCTTTCTTTAGGAGATTAAAGATTTGCCCTAGAAAAGATGGCTGACTCCAGTGCCAAACATAAACGTTAGATGTGTGTATGCACACATTTGCATACGTGCTTATACCGTATCTCCCCTGCCTCTGCTGGCACAAAAATAGGACAGATTATTAAATAACATTTCCAATTCACGGCAGTTTCTCTAACACTAAGATATGCAAGTTGAAACAAGTTTCTACATTGTTTTATGTGTCTGGTACAGTTGTTTCCCCAGTTGCTGTTTGATATATCATCAGATGGTTAACATGAGTATAATTACATAACTCAATAGAATTCTATGTTGAACTGAATCAGTCTTCAGGAAACTTATTATCTCTATTTGAGATGAATGTAATGCTAACTGAGAAAGGGAGCATCTTTGACCTATAGCTGATTTCTTATAATTGAGGAGTGGGTTATGAAAAGATGGAAAACTAAAGGTCAGAGTAGCAGGAAATGAAAGGTAGTATGTGATTGGAGGGAACGATATTTTGATCTAACTTATTATGCAATATAATCAGAGAAATATTAAAAATTAACTGTCTGCTGTACACAGGGACTTTGATTATGCCCTTGTGAATCCCCTAAAAGCTAATGAAATGTAAGCTTCAGTGCCCCTTACTTAGACATGCCCTTTCCTAGGTCCTGTACCTAATTTTTCATTAGGAATTTTGTATTACGTTTCTTGAAGGTTAGCAAAATTACATATACTTCTGGCCCTAAAAAAATCTGCATCTGTCCCTGTGAGAAAGGTCAAAGTACTCCCATTACTTTATCTATTAGAAATAAGCATGGGGTATTTGTAGGATATATTTTTAAGTAGTAAAGTTGTGAGTTAATTGAAATATCTCTATATAACTCAGTGGCTTTCTCATAGTACATATTATATGTGGTATATAAGGAGAGAGTTTCACTTTGGACATATTTTATGTGTCAATTCTGAATGATAGAAGAACAATGAATGGGATTTTAATTGTATCTCTTTTTCTTAGTTTGGAAAGAAATAGAGAGAGATTTGAAATTTGAATGCAGAGGAGTCAAGAAATTTGATTTTAGTTAAATAAAACCTTGTTTCATTTCACCCTACGTGATATGCTGTATGTTGGTGCTGATAATGTTTACAGAGCTACATTCGTAACCATTCAAAGTCAGGAATTAAAGCATGGCGTTGTGTGACTGACAAGAAGCTCATGGTGGATATAAATTAGAGTAGATAGAGTCATCTTAGCAGCTTCTGTTTACATTATTTATATATATAGGTAAAAGAATTATTACCTATAAATGTATTTTAGGTTAATTTTCCCATAAACAGTATTTTTAATTTATCTCAATATATATAATACCTAAAAGTGTAACCTCTAGGTATTATTAGTACTGTACTTAAAAAGATATTTTAATAGCCAGTTTTGGGAGTTAATCCTTCTTTTTGTCGCATTTTTCAAATCAGTTGGAGTCTAAAAATAAATGCTTGGTCTATTTTTAGGTCTGATAACAAATTCACAGAGGCATACATCATGGTCTCACAGAAAGTTCACCAGTTTTCCATATGTTGTGAGATAATTGCCCTTCCCTACAGTCTCGTCAGGATAATAACTTGATCTTTCTGAACCGGTTCTCTGTTTCCTTCGAGTTAATCACATGGTTCCCTGTATGTTTTATTTTTTTGACATGATATTTTCAAGATAGGAGTGAGTCTTCATTTTATACAATTACTTGATATTCTTAGCCTGAAACTACCACTCCGGTTATGCCCTTGTGTGTGTCCCTGCCCCCTTCTCTCTGTTACCGTTGGCTTTAAAATGTCAGTGGAAGATGGTTACAGTCTCCAGACAGTTATCTGTTACACGTGTGCATTTTGGCTACTTGGATCAAGGGTACCTTTATAGTATCAATAAGTGCCTTAACAGTTTTATAGATAATCTCTCAAGAAACTGTGGAGCATTTAGGTGTCTAGCAGCCGTACAGATGGACGCACTGTTTTGAAAGTGAGCATACTTTTTTCCCTCAACATGTACACTACTGATTTTATTTTTAAAAGTATGACTTTCAAATGAATTAATTTCTTGGTTAGAAGACTTGCCTCCCGAATCCTTATTACCTCTTGTGGAAGCCTCTAAAGGCCATGTTGAAAACTGGAGAGGAAAAAAAAAAAAAAAAGACATGCACAGTTATCTCTTTTGCAGCAGTGACTGTATTTTGAGTACTTTGTGCAGCAGGGTATTTTGTACAGCGTCTTGTGGGAAGACAGATTAGGCCTTTGGTTGTTACAGCTGTATAACCGGTTGGGTTGTGATTGGCCTGACTGAACTGAGGATTGTGAAGTTAGAGCCCACTTATTCCTACTGATTAATATTCTTCTGTGCACGCTCTGAAGCACATTCATAGCGCACCAGGAGGCGATGCAATGTGGTTCCCTGGTTTGAGGTTTGAGCTGTCTTATTTTAAAGCATGTCTGAATTATTTTTTTCCCTAGCATTTCTCCTTCATTCCAAATTTCCACTTACTGACTAATGGAATATAAAGTAAAAATACTTTGGAGAAGTAAAACACAGATTATTTCAAATGAGCGTACGCTTATAACAGAATAGAAATGATCTACGTTAAACTACTGTGTATGCTAATTACTTCAGACACTACCACGGGGCACTTTTAAATTGCTCTGGAAGCAAAAACAGTACATATAACTATGGTTAGCACACAAGACCCCTGCAAAGATTTTAAGTAGTCTGGGATTCTTTTTTT